GGGACAGCGTCATCTATCTTGGGCATCGGTTGTCTGCAAACGGCCTTGAGCCAGAGGCAACCAAGGTTGAGGTCATTCGAAAGTGGCCTCAACCGGCGAACTGCGTTCTTCCCTTGGTTTGGCCTCATATTACCAGAAGTTTGTGCCCAAATTTTCTGTCATTGCTCACTCACTCTCAAGACTAACAAGTAAGAATGTTGCCTATGCGTGGTGTGAGAAGTGTGAGACTGCGTTCCAAGCCTTGAAAGAGGCATTGGTGAGTCATCCTGTGCTCCGCATTGCGGATCCCAACCTCACATTCGTAGTCACTACGGACGCGAGCCAGTTTGGGATTGTTGCAGTGCTGCAACAAGATGGTTGCGATGATTGCGTCCGCTCGAGTATTATAGTAAGCGCATGCCCAACCACAAGGTAGCTACCTCCACGTTGCACGAGGCGCTCACACATTGGAAGCACTACCTCTTGGGTCGTCACTTCAAGGTCTACTCAGCTCATGAGACCTTGCACTGGATTAAGACACAAACTGATCTCTCTCCGACGCTGACCCGCTGGTTGCATGATATTCATGTGTACGATTTTGAGTTGAAACATAAGAAAGGCTGTTATAATCGTGTTGTTGATGCATTGTCCCGCCATCCTGAATTCTTGACTTGCCTTGTGGGTTCGTATGACCTCCGAAGGAAACAGAAGGAGGATCTGGTCGAACACACCACCAAGGATCCGGACCTTAGTCCCATCCTTAAGCAGCTCAAGGCTGACCCTAACAGTTAGCCTGATTTTCACGAATGCGAGAGTCTTGTGTTCCGCCGGTATGGGAAATTTGATCGTTTGTGTGTACCCAGCCATGCGCCTCTCCGAACTCATTTCTTGGATTTGGCACATGGTCGAAGTGGACATTTCGGCTTTGAGAAGACTTATGGAAGTCTTCTGCAGCAGTTTGATTGGCCAGAAATGAAAGGATCTGCTCAGAAAATTATTGCTGAATGTCAGGTATGTCAAAGAACCAAGGTCCACAGGCATAAGCCTTATTGCCTGCAGAGACCCCTCCCCATTCCTGATGGACCCGATGAGTCGATTTCCATCGACTTCACGGACATGGGAAAGGTGCGTGAGGCAGAAAATTCACAAGTCATGGTCATCGTGGACCGTTTCTCCAAATTTCTGAACTTGATTCATTTCCCTCCCCATGCCCCAACTGAACTTGTCATTGAAGAATTCCATCAGTAGTACATTCTGCAGTTAAGCACCCCGAAAACTGTTGTAAGTGATCGGGACACCAGATTCATTAGCAAAGATTGGAAGGACTTCACCTCTCAGATCTATGACATTAAACTGAACAAGACTTCTGACCGACACCCCGAAGCCAATGGATTGGCCGAGGAGATCAACCAGACTGTCATCCAACTACTTCGCGCATTGATTGTTCCAGATCAAAACACGTGGGACAAGGAGTTGCACAAAGTGAAGGGACTGTATAACAACTTCATTCACTCTGCAACTGGTGTGACACCAAACCAGTTGCAATACGGATGACCGATGCGTAATCCCCTCTCCTATCTGTTCCCCGAACGGTCACCTGGTCTGATGCCCGGCATGCCGGGCTATAATGCCAAGTACTCACGCTTGCTCAAAGTTGTTATTGCAGCCATGAACAAGCGTCAGCATGCCATGATCAAACATGCTAACAAGTTGCGCAAAGAAGAAAAATTCAAAGTAGGGGATTATGTTTGGGTTAAAATGTCCGAGTTTTCTGATGAAGAGGGCGTATCACGAAAACTCCTTCCATTGTACTATGACCCCTGGAAGATTCTGAAGGTGATTGCGGATGATTTTGGTCCTTCATATGTGATTAACGTGCCTCCTCATCTGCGCACGTATCCGGTCTTTCATGCGTCCAAACTGTTCCCGCACATTGATGATGAGACGTTTCCCTTCCGAGACCTTATGATACCTCGCTCTATCGACGGCGGTCATGAGATAGACAGAATTGTTTCTCACGAGGGAAGAGGGAGGAACAGACAGTACAAGGTTCACTTCCCCTATCACCCGTTGACTGAATTCTTCTGGATCGACTTAAAAGAGCTGCTAAAGAGTGCTCCCCGTGTTGTGAACGCTTATGAACGACAGATCGCTGAGGGACAGACTGCTAAATTTGTTGCAAAAATGACTCCTCACGGACTTACTAAGTCTCTCTTTCTGATTTACTCCTACGATGCATTTTGTGCCAACTCTGAATGAGTTACTCGCTCGAAGGGACCTCGCTCTTGAGAGGGGGGTAATGTAATGACCCGCCAAAAACACAGACTGGGAACACTGCTGATTTCTGGGATTTGCCGCTGGAATGAATGCCTTGTTGAAATTCCCGCATTCTACTGTGATTTCCATGTCTGTGTGTGTGTGCGTGCCTGCTGGTTTGCATGCCTGTCTGAGTGCTTGTCGGTTGAATGTGTGTGTGACCCGCAAGTGTACTTGTTGATTGCAAGGCCCCATATGGCCGGTACTTACCTGTGGCCGTGACTGTGAAGGGTTGCAGGGGGAAAACACTCGAGTAGCGGGGGTAGGCCCGCGACACTTAGAGTAGAGGGGAAAAACACTCAAGTAGCAGGTAGGCCGGTACCACTGAAGTAGTGGTAGAAGTGTCGGGTACTGGAGGCCGAGCAGAAGAAGACAAAAAGTTGTCATTTTTAGAGGCCCAGTAGCGGTAGGTTAGAGGTAGGCCGGTACCAGTCCAAGTAGCCCGAGTCTAGGGCCTGTCCGGAGGTTAGCAGAGCCTGCAATGATGTTTCCCTCCGAAAGGGAGGAGGTACCGGTTGCTGGGAGGCCGCTCGGCCTAGGAAGTCGCCGCCCAGGAGGCCAGTAGGCCGCTATATCTTTCGGAGGAGCAAGTAGCTCCTCCTCATTTGCGGTGTGCAAGGATTGGCGACATGCTGCTGGAGCGCAGCGCTGGACTGGTGYAGCGCTGCTTGGAGGTGAAGGGCCGCTGGAGCTCAGCCTGGCTATGGCGAGCAGTCCAGCTTGAGGAGGAGGAAGAAGGRGGCATGSTAGGAGAGTGGCRGGGCACGTACCTGGCTATGGTAGACACCATCTTCATCACCTTGTTGGGCGCTGCATCTGGAAGGCCCCAGTTGGGGTAGTGCTGYACCAAGGAAGCTCGAGGCAGAGTCAGGCATGGCGGACCAGTCAGCAGCGGCATAGYTGCTTTGGGTTGTCCTTTGGACATCAGCGCAGCACCATAGCTGCTTTGGGTTGTCCTTCGGACATCAGGGCAAGRCCCTCATTAGTCCGCCATAGCCTACGCATGAGAGAGGAGGCTGAGGGAGGGAAGCCATAGCTATGGTGGACTGGTTGTTGTTGTTGTTGTTRTTGAGTTGAGTCAGCARTAAGAGGGAACTTCGGATATTGATTCTGGTTCATCCATTCATTGTTATTATTATTATTGAGAGAAGAATAAGATTGGTGAAGTGAAGGAGGAGGAGGAAGGTGGAGAGAGAAGGGGGAATTGTCATTGGTCTTGCTGGTGTACATCTTCTTCTTCTTCTTCTTCTTTCTCTCTCCTCTGGTCTTTATCTCTTTGCAAGTGCTTTCATTTCTTTCGCAATTGGGTGGCATTGTCTTTCATTGTGAATTTGCACTTGGGAAATGACCAGGATTGTAACATAACGCAAAGACCGAGCATTTTGCCAATAGCTGCACCTCCCTTCTACTTCCCCCACGCCACATCGAGTACCAGCAGTGTCTATGGCCGGCACTCTCCCACAGACCCCCCCCACCTACCCACACACGCACACTCGTGAAGGCCAAAGAACCTACCAATACCCAAGGGGGAGCAAGCCAGCTATCTCAGTTGGTTGGCACCAAGAGTGGCGCAGCTATTCAACCTTCTATGTATCGTTCCAATCCTTTTACGGAATGTCCCGAAGGACGGCTTCTGTATCTGGACAGTTGGTAAGTTGTTGGTGCACTCTGCCTGGGCACTGGGCCCTGATTATGAAACTCGTTAAAAAAAAAGAAAAAAAGTTCATGGGTGTACCCACTCAACTACCGGCTTCCCCGGCTTCTGTATCTGGACAGTTCGTACGTTGTTGGTTCACATTGCCTCGGGTACTGGGCCCTGATAATGAAGTTTGTTCTTAAAAAAAAGAAAGTTCATGAGCGTACCACTGAACTACAGTTTTCACCCGAATAGAACGCCCCGTAATTCTCTCTGTATTTAGACTGAAAATTGCGCCAAATACAGCTATATATAATGACCGGATATTCTATGTAGGTAGCCCCCGTTGGTGAGACACTAATTTTCTAGTGTTTGGGAATCATATACTCACACTACTACCGTCTTGCCCCAAACACAACGCACCCTTATTTTGGCTGTATCTGGCCGGAAATATACCTTGTATACATTCATTTTTAGGGTGCGTTATGTCCGGGGGAAGACGGTAGCACTTTTCCTATATGTATCTGACTGCATTACCACCAGACCTGGATGAATCTGATCGCAATCACGTCCAGAGCTTAGTGGGAAAGAAGTCCTACCGTCTTCACGGGAATAGAACGCTAGGTGATTATTGGTCGTATCTGGACTGAAAGTTCCACCAAATACACAGCTATAATGACCGGGCGTTCTATTCGGATGAAGACGGCAGTGAGAAGTATGCCCTTTGTGTTCTATACACTGTGAAAGTAAAACCTTATGCGCTGATAGCAAATTCCCCACACTGGAACCAAAAAAAATAAAAATAAAAAAAAAATTCCCCACTTGAAAACTGCTCTCTCTCTTTTCCCGAACACAACGCACCCTCATTGTGAATGTATACGAAGTGTAAGTCCGATCAGATACAGGGCATATTGAGGGTGCGTTGTATTCGGGGGAAAGACGGTAGTTGGGTGGGAAAGGAGGTATCACGGAAAGGTTTAAGCAGTGCAGAATAAACGTAGACTGTTTTTTGGGCGAAGCACTGTACAATGAATGTAGACTGTTTTGGGAAACCGAAAAAGCAACTTACCCCTCCTTTCCCCTTCCCCACTGCCGACCACTTCTTAGATTTCGAAACGTCATCGTTTTTTCCCTGAGATCGCCTTCATCATCAACCGATGATGATGATGATGATGATTGAGGATGATGATGATGATTGAGGATGATGATGGCGATGATGACGATCAGCATGATTGATGTTGCTGCTGCTGCTGCTGCTGCTGCAGCTGCAGCTGATGATGACGATGATTATGAGGATGAGGATAAGGATGATTGAGGATGATGAAGGCGATGATGATTGAGGATGATGATGGCGATGATGATGGCGATGATGACGGTCATGATGAGTAATGATCGTGGTGATGATGGTGGTGGTGATGATGACGAGGATGATCGAGGAGGAGGAGGAGGATGACGATGATTGCTGCGGCTGGTGATGACGATGAGGATGAGGATGAGATTACTGAGGATGATGATGGCGATAATTATGGTAATGATGATGGTAATCATGACTGATGATGATGGTGATGATGATGGTGATGATGATGGTGATGATGATGGTGATGGTGGTGGTGATGAGGATGAGGATTATTGAGGAGGTGGAAGAGGAGGACGAGGATTGAGGATGCTGATGAAGATGAAGGAGGAGGAGGAGGAGGAGGAGGAGGAGGATGGAGGATGGTGATGACGATGATGATGATGATGATGATGATAGAGGATGATTGAGGAGGACGGTGGGGATGGTGATGGTGATGGTGATGGTGACGAGTCCTTGAGGCAAGAAGAGGGAGAGGACGACCGTCTTTCCCCTCCCTCCCCCCCCCAACACAAGGCACCCTCATCATCTCCATCCCCGTCCTGACGGTTTGAAATTAAACGGATAGGGTGCGCTGCCATCGGGGGAGATGGTAGGTGGTAGGATTGGAAAGCATCCACGAGTCGATCACAAGGATCGAACGCACGACGTCTCACTTGGGAGGCAGGAGGCCAACACTCAACCAAACGCCTCCGAGCACTGGGGAGATGAAAGTGAAGCCCCAACCAAGTGGGCGGTCGCGCGTTCGATTCTTGTGATCATGACGGTAGCAGAGGGAAAGAACAAGGAGGACAAGGAGGAGGAGGAGGAGGAGGAGGAGGTAGAGGAGGAGAAGAGGATGCGGAATAACGACGGTGACGATGATGATGATGATGATGATGATGATGATGACGATGACGATAAGGATGATGACATTAAGATTTGGAGATGACGATGATGATGACGATGATGATGATGATGATGATGATGATGATGATGATGATGATGACGACGATAAGGATGATGACATTAAGATCTGGAGATGATGATGATGATGATGATGATGATGATGATGATGATGACATCACGATCGCCATCTGGAGATGCTGATGCTGCTGCTGTTGCGGATGATGGTGATGATATTTTGATGACGTCATCATCATCGGCACAGTCGAAGCATCCACGTCATCGTCTCGGTATATCTTCTTTCGTGAGAAGAAATTTCCGTAAACATTTTATTATTTTTCTGTTTTTTCCCCCTTCGATTTATGCGTGTCATCCTCGCTCTGGGGCCATGCTAATCTTGTCTAGGTTCTCTGTATCGTTCCGAGCTTAACGGATGTCTCAAGGGACTTCTTTAATCTTTTTCTCTCCTTTTCTTCTTTGTGATTTGCATTCTTTTTTCCCTCCTTTTCCTTTCTTCCCTTTTTTTTTTTTTTT